GGGGGGGGGGGAATCACCTGTCCTGAGTGCTCGGCGGGTGCGCGGTTGCCGACAAAGATCCTCCACTTCAAACGGCGGTGCGGCAAGTCATAAACGACCCTCGTCTCAATAAAGTAGGGATGACAGGCGCGGGATAAGGTACCGCCCTTCCAACGGTCGCTGGCCGCGCTGGATGCCTGCGATTTTATAGATAAACATACGCGATGTTGAATTCGCGGCAGATCGTAACGTTACTATATATTTAAAGTAATATTAATTTCGCTTCCGCAGTAGGGAAAAAGTTATGTAATTTTGCGGAATAAATGGCGAATTTCCGGCAGAAAAACTTATTGCCGGAACCTGTTAACGAGAAAGTGAATAAAAGACGTCTACTAAATGTAGGAGACATCTAACTCGTGTAACCAGTATCAATGTTTTATGAACAACGCTAGCAGCTTAACTTGTCGATTAGCTGATGTCGCCGCTTCTTGAAATTGAAACTGATATTTTATTGGGGGGGGGGGTTATATGTTGCCCCTGGAACATTTTCAATAAACTGCCCCAATTTTTTTAAGTTTTGTCGGATAGCGTAATCGACTTAACAGATATGTTCAGGTCTAATTTTTGTTGATTACCCTAATTTTTCGAAAATTCCGAGAATTACAAACCTTTTCGGTTCTTTCTACAACTAAAATATTAAACAGATATTTTCCCTTAATGCACTCTGTTCCTGAAAGACAGATTTTGAAATAAGGTGACGTTAAATTTTGCGAAAATTTGAGCACGTTTCACGAAAGTTTGTGTGAAATTTAGTCACAGTTTTTATTTAAAGTTAATCTCGGCTAGTATATGAAACGTTAAAGAGAATGGTGCTGGTCTCATGTTCGTTGAAAAATCAGATATTTTGAAAATTGCAAAAAATTAAAAAAATTTTGGCGTCTTCCTCCCACTACAATTGAAGAGCTTAGAACAAGGGCTTATCCCACATTGACCTGGTTATTAGATATTGAGGGTTTTTTTAGAACTTTTATAAAATCACTCGGAAGACGTTTTAAACAGTACACTCGCATATAAGTCCATACTGAATTTAAATAACATTCCACTATAAGAATAGTATTTGAAGTTTTATTTAATCCTAGTAACTAAATTTCACGAAAAATGCGGTATAGCCCCATGTTCTGCTGAGCCTTTCAATTATGAAGATTGTTTTTGTTATGTTATGTTTGTTGTTATGAAGATTGTCATAATGTGTGTTCAAATAATCTTCAAATGTCATGTTCAGTACTACAAAATGTTAGTTTTTGTGTAATAGGTAAACTTTATTTCCTTTAAACAATTTTTTTTTCTTAAGGATGGAATCACATTTTTTAATTTCATTTTGATCATGGACAGCGTAAAGGACGCTGAGAGAACGGCGCAGGTCTCATTTTCGTTAAAATCCCTGATTTTTCGAAAATTGGAAAGTTCAAATTTTTTTCGGCGTCAACTTAATTATTTGGGTGTCTTCCTACAACTACAATTGTGAAGACAAAAAAAGGTGTGTAGTGACAATAAGTAGGTCATCTTAAATTGTCCGAAACATAAGTTTTTTGTATATTTTGGCGTTAAACATAGTCGCCCGCTTCGAATTTATCGCGCTTAGTGAACGTAATTTGAGAAGTGCTTGGAGACAGTTGGATGCTACACATGTTAGAAATTGTATATTTCAAATTTGTTTGTTTCTTACATTCGAGCTTTTGTTACACGTTTACAAATTAATCGGTTAGAAATTATTTAAAACCTATTTGACAATCCACATTTTTTGTTCGTGTTGCGAGGAATGTACGAGGGTCGGTTAGAAAGACATTTCTCTCATTTTTTTCACAAATATTGTTTAGAAGAATCTGAAATTTGCACACAATACATGGTTATTCTACTGGCTCTATTTTTCCACACATTTCCATCGACTTGTAATAGCCTTGCACCAGCGTGAAACAAGGGCGTGTTTGCCTTGCCGGTACTAAGTATTTTCCGTTGCGTGCGTTGTCTTCCCTTCACTTCGGGTCATCTTCAATATTTCCTTCGCGAATAGCTTTATCAGTGGTTCAAACTGATAGAAATCGGAGGGGGCTAAATACGAACTGTGGGAATGGGGAAGCATAGTCAATTTTTGTCTGGGCTTCTCTTGTTGCGACACGTGTGTAGGCGTACGTTTTCGTGCAAGAGCAAGCTTAGCACAATTCTGTCAATGAACTCGCGGGAAAAGCTTCTTTTGGGCATTCAGAGTGTTGATATAAGAATTTAAATTAATGGTACTGCCTTTGGGCATAACATGAACATGAATGATACCATCAATATCCTAAAAGACAGCATGTCAGGCCTTGTCGCTCTGGCGCGATGCTCGGAGCGCGGCGAATCATGGAGATCAAGCTCTTACTCATTTAACCAAACGTCCAACGGTACTCACGGCGACAGCAGAGGAGTCACACTGCACACAAGCGTTTGTGGATGTTCACATCAGCTTCCTTCTCCGCAACGGGGTACTCAATCACAGCTCGCTGTTTGTAACGTACGGTGTCTACAGCCACCATTTTAACAGTTCGTTGAGGAATTGCCATCTGCAGGAAACTCTTGGAAGTTGGTTCACTTACTGCAAATATGAAACTTGAAGGGTTAACAACTGCGTACCAATATTATTGCATGAAGGGGAAAATGTGGGTCATTTCTTTCATATTCTCGATGTATTGATGTATTTTCAAGTAATTCACAAACCTTAAATAAAACTAGCTCAATTAGGTTTTCTCTCTTAAAAATACAATTTGAAGGAAATATGAAAGAAAAATTGAAAAAAATGTAGTAACATTTGAACAAAATTTTATTTAACTTTAATTTTATATTATCACCGTACGCCGCTTTGGGCAACAATGCTGCGATGGATGTTTGATTTTTTTGTTGAACGGCGACAAGATAAGTGAGTTTTATTTCTGTGAATTCCGTCTTATTGTTGAGACTCGGTTTAGCTGTATGCAACGCAGTTTAAATTGTCGAATTTGTTCGTTGATGTTCGCTTCAAAATATTTCGTTTTCGCACTTATTCTTCTATGATTTGTAATGACTTACAAAGAAGCCATGACTAAGGTATGTTAATTCAAATTGCGATAAAAAGTGCTATAACATGCGTTACCATGGGCGAGAAAGTATGCGAGTTTTTGTATCACTAGTTTCTTTAGTCCACTATGTTGACTATACTCTCTACAATATACTTAAATATATAAATAAATCTTAATCTTCGTGCAGGGTCTCATTTGGGTGCTCCATAACGTTTTGTGCAGCTGATTTGTAACTTGTTTCCCTTTTCTTATTCTTTCGATAACTTCAGGTTCGCTTTTACAATTTTTGGTAAATGTTACTCCTATGTACTCCTTTAATAATTCCACCTTATAACGCCAAATTTATGTTTACATTGTTAAGTACATGATATTTAGTTTTAGAGATATTTATTGTTTTGTATTTTCAAACTGCTTCCTCAACGTTAATTGAATTTCATCTTCTCCCAATATCAATTGGTCGTCAGCAAAAGCTAAGTAAAGTTTATCAGTTCCGATTGAAATATCCCATATTCGTCTAAGTTCGCCTCTATCTCTTCAGGGCAGGTGTTACTCGTTGATATATTTGAGGAGTGTGGGAGCGACTGCACATCCTTGTTACAGACCTTTAATTACAGGGTTTTTCAGATAGGTTTCCACTTATCTTGACTAGTGACGAAGCGTGAGGTTAAGTTTTGGATAAGCTGAGTCACGAACGTGTTGTAAACACACATACTACTTAATTGTCAAATATCCAGTATTACGAAGATTGAGA